GAGAGAGAGAGAGAGAGAGAGAGAGAGAGAGAGAGAGAGAGAGAGAGAGAGAGAGAGAGTTTTCCATCGATAGGATGATCAACGCACCGGCCAACAGGTAAGTCTCAAACCCGACGGCTGGCCTCATGCTACTTCCATCAATAGGATGAGCAAAATCGAATGAATCTTCCGCTAAAACATGGAAATATACAATACTACACTTGTTTGTTTGTTTGTGTGTGTGTGTGTGTGGGGGGGGCGGGGGGGGAGGGGGGGGGGAAGTGAGGGGGTGGCTTGATATCAGATTTTTTACAGGGACGTATTTTGAAGAATGAGGTCCCCCACCGCGTAGTCCCCAAAGCGCGCATGCGGATGGTGGGGTCGCGTTCAAAAATTTTGCACCACGTGGCGCGTAGCGCGTTTGAACGCGGCCCCCACCCATTTGAATGTGGGCGTTCACATCATTCAAACCGACACATAGTTGGTTCGAGTGGAACTCACTGACTGGTGGTCGACCAGGGGGTCGGGAAGTGGCTCATCTTCGTCCTCACCGCGTGACCACATCACGACGCCGGAGGTCCTTGCGTCTGATGGGCGCTCGGCGGACACTTCAGCCTCGTGCACCACTGAGGAAGGTATTCGCTCTCGACGACTGACTTCCACATTAGGCGGTGCATCTTCGCTGCAGGTGACCGCCTCACTCTCGGGGGACCGGTGCACGTTGCCCGACACTGGTTGCGGGACTACGCCCGGGGGGTTGGCGCACATCGCCGATGACACTGATTCGGTGGAGGCAGATGCGTCTCTTGGTGCAAACAGGGACTTCCCCATTGCTGTTGGTAAGGTGGAGACATATGCAGTGATAGGTGGGCGTGGGGATGATCCGATCGGTGCTAGTGTGGATGATCCGGCCGGTGCCACTGCTGCACTTGATGATGGTGTTGTCGGTGCAGTTGATGATGGTGTTGTTGGTGCAGACAAGGAGACCGGTGATGGTCCCATTGCGCGCGGGGATGTGTTCTCCACTCTAGATCTGGGGTTCTGGTTGGGGGAGAGTTTCACCTCCCTGCTGCCGCACGTGGCCCTTATTGCCCCGTGTGGCTCTGCACGAGACTTCGGTAAGCGCCTGGCTTCGATGTCCCCAATGCGGACTGATGACGAGTCCAACACCCCCGATTGGTCCAGATTCACCAGACCCACCCCGCCCCCTCTGCGATTGAACGAGGACATTCAGTTGGTCGCTCGGGAGGGCACACATGGCCAGTCTACAGGAGGAGGACCCCACCAGTTCAGGATGGCAGACCGACCCCATCATAGGACATGGATGCAGGGCATGCAACAGTGTCACCGCCGAACATTGATGAGAGCAAGGTGCACCAAGTGAAGAGTTTGGCGGGCAGAAAGAAGGGTGGGAAGAACAAGGAAATGGAGGCAGCGGCACCCAAGACGAGAGGCGGAAGAGGGAAGGGACGTAATATTGTCGCGCCGCCCAAGACCTTGGAAGAAAAGTGTGCTGTTGTTCGACAAGCGAAGAGGAAGAAGGCTCAAAGAGTGCAAAAGAAAGCCGCGGTAGCTGATCGACCTCCAAAACGTGGACCGCAGAAGAAGAGAAGACCTGTGCAAGAGGACGACGAATCGAGTACCAGCAGCTCCTCGTCTTCCACTTCTTCATCCCGGTCAGGGTCGACATTGTCGTCATCTGGCACGAGTAGCAGCAGTGAATGAAAGTGTGTTGTTGATGTGTGTGTGTGTGTGTGTGTGTGTGTGTGTGTGTGTGTGTGTGTGTGTGTGTGTGTGTGTGTGAGAGAGAGAGAGAGAGAGAGAGAGA